TTTTTTTTTGTCCTTTTTGTGTGAATGAGCATTTACTTGTAGGGCTCCTGGTTCCACCACTGTAATAAAACCATTTCCAGTATCTCCAGTGGGAGAGGATCTTCATCCTGCAGGTATGCCTTTATGGCCTCCTCATCACCAGTCAATGCTTGTTCTTCCTACAAAAACACAATTACAGTTACTCTGTGGCAAGCAATGCCTCAAGACAAAAATACAAACATTACTCTTTTACCTTTATGTCAGGATTATCAGACGCAGTATCCTCATGACCTGGCTTGTCGTCCTGGTCTGGAGGGGACACTGTGCTCTGACCCTGGGCCTGGGCCTCCAGCAGGCCCTGCAGCTCCTCTGGAGGTTCCTCAGGGGGTTCAGTATCATCTGCATATGACACATGTTTCTGGGTCTTCCGTAAGATGAGCTCCTGCAGCCGCTCTCGGAACTGGATGTGAAAGACTCCCAGCTGCTCTGCAAGCCACTTCCCATGGGTGGTTTTCCCAGAACCTCTCACTCCTAGTATGAAGACCCGCAGCGCAGGAGGCTGGTGGCATACAAATGGTTTTGTGTTATATGTACATTATTTGTTCATATTTGTCATTTTCTATTTGTTTACACAGATGTAATTGATGTTCAAAAGTACAAAGCAAGGTCAGAGGTCTGTTGTCACTTGCCGACGTGTTTGTGAGTTTTTATCAGCTATCTTAATAAAATAATGCTCATACCTTTAGTAGTTGTGTGTTAGAAATGTAGAGTTCAGGATTCTGTAGGAACTTTTCTTGTGCCTCAGTGCTGGAGAAATAATAGACTTTGTCTCTGTACTTTGCAGCATATTCGTCCAGACACGGTTGTAGCATACCCCTCTCTTTCAGCACCACTGGACAAAAATGCTTGGTGTCTCCCAGGTGCCTCTTAAAGCTGGCATCCTCCTGAGACCATCATAAACAAAAGAGTGGTATGATATTCTGAGAATAAGTAACAGGCGTTTTTACACTTTTTTGTGTATAAATTGTTGGTCTAAGTCAGGGTTTCCCAAACTGGGGTTTGTGAGCTGATGAAAAGCTAATAATTAAATAAATAAATAAATGTCAAATTAAAATAAATTTGAATGCAAAAATGTATCCTGGCTCAACAGCCCCTTAAAACAGCATGGATTTTATTCACAGTCCATTTTACATCTCTATTATAAAGTGTTTTGGAGTGAAACGAGGGGAGAAGGATATTTAATTAGTTCTGCATTAATGATGGGTGCAACCTCTGATTCTTGTTCCTCCTCTTCATTAACATTTCGTTTCTCAGCCTGTGTCAGCGCATGTAGGGCCTCTTCCTCCTCCTCCAGGTCTGCACTAGATATGCTCATAGCTGTGTACTTAAATGGCTCTAAGTGAGAAAGTAAAGATATAGAGAGTGAGAGGGAGTGGCTGCTAATTTAGAGTGAAAGAAAGAGCCTGAAACAGTCAGACAGTCCACTCCACATACTCTCCATATGGTAAATCATCTCTTTGAGTGTGTCCTGAGGGGTTTTGTTGCTGATGTCCAGTATAGCATAGCTGCAGGTGATTGTGTGCTCCATGTTTTCCCAATCTGCCAAAAATTGCTTCAGCTGCACACTAAAAGCCTCCATCTCTGGGCCGTCAGGATAACCATTTTCCCACACTGTTGGCAGCGCCATCTCTGCACACCCAGATATATTTCGAAATGCACAAATTAAGTCATAAAATTATAACTGACACTCAAGTAAAGGTAAATAACAGTGAGTGCTGAAGAAAAAAATATAAAGAAATATAACAAACCTTCATCGTTTAGAGTTTTGTCTTCTTCATCAGACTTGTCAAAACTCTCTGCAAATACATAGAAATTACTTATCAGAACATACTTTAACATTTAAATGAAAAAAGCTGAATTTTAAGAAGCCATTACTCCAGCTGTCAGTGTCACATGATCCTTCAATCATTCTAATATGTTGATCTGCTGCTCAAGAAATATTTTTTAATATGTTGAGAACAGTGCTGCTTAATATTTTGAGGAAACCATGATGCATGTCTTTATACTTTGATGAATAGAAAGTTAAAAAAGAACAGAATTTATGTGAAATACAAATAACCTTTGTAACATTACATTATTATGGTAGTGTATGCGCAGTGTATGACTGATGACTTCCAGCAGTTTCATTACTGTCAGTGTGAATGTAGAGTATCTGTTGTTGGGAGATGTTAAAGAGTTCTACCTGACTCCTCATGCAG